ATATAGTATGAAATGAATATTAAGTTTATTTATAATAAAGATTGTTATTTAAAAATTAGGATCCCTTCTTTAAGTATGTTATTAATTCAACGTCTCCGGTTAGACGGTATTTTGATTGAAATAAGACAAAAGGAAAAGGTGGCAATAGTAAGGTAGAATTTCAATGAAACGCTGAGTAATATGAGTAATACATGATATATCTTAATTTATTTCTTTTATGTGTAATTTAAATTAGCATAAAAGTCGTACAAAGTGACCAAAATCTTTAATTCCTTTAAAGATTATTTTTAATAATAAACAATAATTATTATGACAAAATATCCCTTTTAATAAAACATACCCTTGTAAATTCTTAATTCGTGTATAACAATATAACTTGTGTAGTAATTGAATATTATTAGTTACAATAAGAAATAATATTTGTTTTTAATTATTTTTTTTTTTATAGAATATATCAATGTGTAAATGTAATCATGTGTAAAACAGTATGATAACTAATAATTGACTCACCAACTTACAATTTTATTAATTTTATCCAGAACAGAAAAGTATCCTATTACTTTTCTCAGGTGGACTACTCAGATTGACACCTGTGATAGAATCTTTTATACTTAATAATTTTTTCTTACTTTAGTTATTTTCTTTGTGTACTTCTTCAACTATCTCTTTTGAAATTATTCTTTAATTGTTATCAGCATAATATTTTAAATGGCTTGATCAAAGAAGAATATCAAAATTGATTTTAATATTTAAATTTCGGGGTCACCGAATTTAAATTTGTAATCAAATCTGATACTATTTGGCAACAATATTTATGACAAAAATACTTTCAAACCACTAGACAGAGGTTTAATATTTAACACTCCCTATCTTATTTTACTTGTTCCACTTCAAACTTTTCTTTAATTCACTTTATTTAACACAATCTTTTCTTGAGAGATATTCTTTTTATTTAGTTTACTTATTTTGTATTTTATGTGATTATTCTTTTAATCATAATATTTCACTTAGTATTCTTTTTATTAATTACTTTCAATTCGCGTAAAAGATTATTAAAAATTTCAATTCAATTCACTTTAATCAATTAATCAATAGCAATTCAAAATCAACCCTTAATTCTGGGGACAAAAAAATATAAACCTCCGCCCTTTGCGGGAATTAAATCACAAAATATATAAAAAAAATGGTAACGTCCGCTCTGCGGGAAATACTAATTAAAACTCCTCGATTGTTCAATGTGAATAATCGGTCACACCCTGGAAATCGGTTCAGAATCAGTAAAGTGGGGGATGCCGTTGCACACGGCCCCTCGAACTTCATTGTTGCTAGGCAAGCTTTTTGCAAGCTTGCAAATTCTTTAAAAGTGGCGTGATAGAGTTCGATGTTCTCTATTCTATATTGCCAATGTGTGGGTATTTTCTTTTCCTTGGTATTTTACCAATACATTTAAAAGTCCTTCCTGTGAAGTTGTTTTTTGATGATTCTGACAATTTCTTATAGATGTGTTTTTTTGATTTTCGTATTTTTTAAAATTATAATATTTTATATTTTTTTAAAATATTACTCTGATAACACCCAAAGAAAAATAAAAAATTGCAGTTTTTAGTTATTTTTTAATATAGATTGAATAATTTTAGATAAATTTGTAAAAGGTAAAATGGTGAGCAGATTAATAGTGATGAATTACATCTCTTCTACTAATTGTGTAATTAAGAAAAACTTAATTCTAAGACAATATTTCCTGGAATTTCCTTTGAATTTGAATAATATAAAAGGTGTCTTATTCTTAAAATACTTAAATAGTGATTACAAAAAATTAAAAATAGTTACGAATTCGAACGTAACAAATACCCCCCTTTTTTATGCTGGCGTCCCTTGACAGCTTCATGTTAAACATATATTTTTTATAAGGTTTTACATATAAGCCTTTCTTTCAATTATTTAAAAAAAAAATGAAATGCTGGTATTGTTGAAAATAAGTACTATTTAAACAGAAGCGAACTTTTGGTTGTATATACCTTTTTTTTTTAAAAAATTCGTTTCCTTTTTTTTTTTTTTTTTGGAAGATTTTTTAACTAAATATGGTTTGCTTTTGTTTAATTAGAATGAAGACTAATAACAATTTTTTTTCTTTTACGGTTAATACATTGGTTATTCAATCTGACAGGTTAATCTTTTAAATTTTAAAACTAAAATTTCAGCTTGGCAAAATGAATATGTTTCCTTTAAGAAAATTCTTTAATTGATTAATTGAAAAATTCATGTCACTTTGGTCATTTATAAACATTTATTTGATTTTAGCAAGCTGGAGATTTTTTTTTTTAATTTAACATTCGTGATTTTTATAGTTTCTTTTTTTTTATGATTTTCAGTGTTTGATTTTAACCATTATCTTAGATTTGTAGATTACATTGTTTTTTTTTTTTAAAAAAAAAATCATTTATATATATTTTCTATGTAGATGCCTATACTTTAGTTGTAGTTGAAAAATGCAGAAAAAAAATTTTTTTACTAAAACATTGATGTAAAATTTGATATTTAAATTGAAATTTGAAATTATTTCACATACATTTTGTTTGAAATGTTACAATTTTTATAAATTCTTTAACCTTTTTTTTTTTATTATAAAAAAATCTAAAATGTTATGCTTTACAATAAAGTGTTGCGTCGATTAACCGATTTTGATTTATTATTTAAATTTAAAAAATTTTTATATATTTTTTTTTTTCAAACTGTTTCCTATTTGTTGTTTTGGAGAATTACTTTTTTTTATATTGAAATAATTTAGAATTTGATATTTCTAAAATGAAACAGTTTTAACAGATCTGTTATAATAATTAGCTTGATTTTTTTTTTTACCATAATTATGATAAATTTTTAAAATATTTTTTTTTTTTTTACAAACTAATGTTATAAGAGATATAATAATAAATGTGCAGAATTTTTAAAGAAATAATGTTTATTTGATTTTGTTTGTTGGCTGACATTGTTTCTTTAATATAAAGTCTGCACATAATCATTAGAAAAAATGTTGTGAGAGGAAAAAGATAGCCCAGAAAAAAAATATATGAAAAAATTGAAAATTTCTGATTTTCTTCCTCATACCCCCCTTTTTTATGTGCTGTCGTCCCTTGACAGTGTTTTTTTTTTTACATGTAAAAGAGAAAAAGAAAATATATGAAAAAAATATTTTCGAAAAATTTTCATAATTTTTATCTGAAAATAAAATGAAGATTATTTTTTGTTATGTAATCGTCTTCGTCCGGTTGGATCTTCGTTCTCACGGTTTTATTTGCAAGTTTGCAAAATAGTCTATCAAGAAGATTTATTTTTCGTGTGTTGTCAGTTTCTGTTCGTTTGTCGTTTGTTCAAGTATTATTTCTTCTGTTTGTGTTCGTTTTAATTTTGTGACAAAATTTTTTTTTTAAAAAAATGAGTTTTGATTTTACCTTGTTTAAAAGTGCTTTGGAATTGGTGGAGAGGGATGTGTGTAATCCTTCGTCATGTTTAAACTATTTGTTGGGTTAGTATCTTATGGATCAACAAGTTAAAATTGATAGTGGTCTTTTGGGGTAAGTTTATGTAGATTTTACTTTTTGTATTTAAATAAAAAAATGATAGAAATGGTCATGGGAATATTGGTATGATTTTTTTAGGAGAAAAATTATATTTTCGTCGTGGGAGGATGCTCCCTTGCGTCTTACTGGGGTTGGTTTATGGCCCTTAAATGGTTCTTTGGAAAACAGTAATATTGTTTTTAATGACCCACATTGGGTTCAAGAATACCGCTGGAATTGGGTGGAGAAAAAATATGAGAGCCGGTGCTTTTGGGTTCCTGCAGATTTTGAAAGTCCCAATATTTGTGTCGTGTCGGAGGAGGAACCTATGGAGGAGATTGTGGGTTGTTTGGGTGTTAATATTGTTTCTCGGTGAGTGTTATATTTTGATTGTATTAATGTTGTGTTTTGTTGGTTGTTTTTATTACAAATTGAGAATTTCTTTGTAAAATTTGTAGAAATTCAATTTTTTCTTTTTTTAAAAAAAATATCTATATTATTTGTGTAATATTTTCTCTTTTTTTTTTTTTAGTCCATTTTCGAATTTGCCCGTTTACCCTCTTTCTCGTGGTTTTCGTCCACGTAGTGAATTGTTGGAGCTGGTGTTTGTCCAGAGATATCATCAAGATTGGGATGATCTTGTTCTCGGTTTTTTTGGTTGGGAAGTGGTAAGTTTTTTGTCTTTCTATCTTTAGATATATTTTTTTTGTAATAATGTTATTTTTGTTAGGGGTTTAAAAAAAAAATTTTTATGGCTATTTCTTTTTTTTTTAATTATTTTTAGAGTATTGTTTCTTTAATTTTTGTAATAGCAATAGTTTTGTGTGTTGTTTTTTTTTTAGGTTCTATGTGTTGATATGTAGAGAATGTGTTTTTTTGTTTCAGCGTTGGGGCTTCGGTTTAGAGTCTGCGTGGATTCCTGCATAAAATGCTCTTTTTTTTTTTTATGTAGTGTTATTTTGTTTTTGCCATTTTTGTCTCGTTTTTTTTTTAATGTATTTTCTTATTTTTTTTTTTACTTTTTATATATTTTTTAATTTCAAGTTAATATGTGAGAGTTATAAAAAAATAAATTCTGGTTGTAAAATTTTATTCTTTTGTTTTATTTATTTATTTATATTTTTTTTTTATAATTGTAGTTAAAATTGTGTGTTTAGTTTTATTGGTTTGTGCGGGTTGAATTAGTTGCCGCCTGATGACAGCATCTCTCGGTGAGGTAGTTTATCGGGTGTAATGTGCATTGTGCTTTAGTTGCATTTTCAAATCTCATTTCCTATCTTTTTCTTTAGCTTGTATGCGTCAGTATAGTTTCTTTTATATATTCGGTTATAGTGTTTTGTTTGGTGTTTATTTTGTTCTTTTTCTATTTACTGTGTATTGTTTGTGTTAAAAAATATTTTTATATAATTAAAAGAAACTGTTGCTACATATTTTGTTAAAAGACTGTGTTTTTGTGATTTTGGATTATCTCGTAGGTGATTTTTCTGCAACGGTGAGTAAGAAATTTAATTAAATTGAATTTTTGCAATATTTTCAAAAACTTTAAAAAAAAAATTTTTTTTTTTTAAAACTATTAAAAGATTTGTTCATGTCTGTACTTAAATAATTGAATTCTCGTAAAATTTTCTATTAAAAAATTATAACTTTCGTTTTTTTAAAAAAAATTTTTTTAGAAAATAATAATAATAATTTAATTTTTTTTTTATATAAAAATATTCTAGCGTAAATTTATAGAAATAAATGAATTTTGAAAAATGTAACATCTTTGTAGTCTGAAATTTTTCGTGTTTTTAATTAATAATTAATTTTAAGAAAAACTTTAGTTAAATATTCTTGAAAATAATTCTAGAAAATAATAATGGATTTTAAATGATAAAAATAATTTAGAAATATATTTTTTTTAATATTCTTATATGAAACGAATAATTTTTTTACTAGTTTAACTTTAATTCTTTAAAAAATGATAAATTGATTATTCTGAGTTAAAGACTTCTTCATATTTAAAATAATATTTTTATAAGTTTTTAATGTTTTAATAAAATTAAAATTTATTATTTTTTTTTTTTAAAAATAAGCATAATCAATGTTTATAAATTCTATTGGTTAATTACAAAAATTTTTTTTTTAATAAAAATTTACTAAAAAGTGTTTCGTTACATTTTTACGAATTTTATTAATTAGTAAAATTATTCAAATACATTCAATAATTTGTTTTTAAATAAATATTTGATTATCAATATCTTTACACAGAAATTAAAATATTCAGAAATTCAAATTTCAAACCTTTTTTTTTTAAAATTAATTTAAAATTTTTTTACCAAACCTTTTTTTTTTTTAATAAGAATCGATTTTTTCTTTAGAAAAATTGTTCGTTAAAATTTTTTTTTACCATTTTTTTTTTATATATAAAAAAGTAAAATTCTTTTCAATATATTTTTGAATATTCTTTGAAAATTTTAATTTCTTTTCAATTTGTAAAATTAAAAATTTTATAAAATCTTTTGAAATTAAATAACTTATAAAGGTATTTTGTTATAAAATATGTAGTGATTATTTTTTTTTATATTTTAAAATATTTTCTGAGAAAGAATAGTTTTTTATTTATATGCAATTGAAAAATTTTCAAACAATTGAAATTTGGTAAAATCTTTTGAAAGATATTTACATTTCTTAAACGAATTTTTGTTTAATTTAAAGAAAACTAGTTTATTTTTTTTTATGAATTTTAATTAAAAATTTTGGACATATATTTTTTGTATGTTAAAAGTATTTAAAAAAATTATTATTTTTGTATGTATTTGAATTTTTGGAATGTGTATTTAAAAATACCAAAAATATTGAATTTAAAAATATTTTAAATTAGATACTAAATTTTTTGATAATTTGTAAAAAAAAATTTTTTCAAAAAGAAAATTTATACAGGTTCGATTTCTGGAGTAAGATATTGTTATTTTTGTATGTATGATTGTGCTCAACGCATGGCTCTCCTCCGTTTCTCTCCGCTTCCACACCTTCGTAGGCGCCCCTCATGTACCGCGACTATCACGAAGCAATGTATGGCTCCATGCATTAGTCTTCTATTCCTACGCTTTTTTCCGCTCCCCGGCGTTTCTCCACTTCCTCTGAGCTCCTACAAACTATCTTCTCTGGCGCGATCCCAGTTTGTCTAAAATTGTAAAATTTCTAGGGTCGAGGGTATGCCTGTTCCGTGCGCGGAGTTGCGTGCGTAATATACGTCGCGTAAATTACTTAGAGTTTTTTTACGCATTTTACGTATGATACTTAAACATTTATCATGGTTTCCCTTTCTTTTTTTTTATGCATATTTTTGCCTATATTCTGTTGAATTTTTAGCTTTTTTTTTTTGGTATTTGTTTTTATATAAAAAGGATTTGTTAGTTTATTTTTTTTTTATAATTCTTTATTATTTCTTGGTTTTCTATTTGTTTTATTATTATTTTAAATTGTTTTTGATATTTTATTATTTATTGTTTTTTATGTGTTAATATATATTATAATTTTGATTGTTATTATTTCTATTATTATTTAAATTGTTTAATTCTTGGTTTTTTTGAATTATTGATGTTTGATGATGAAAGTTTTATACATTAGAGAAATTAAATTTAAAGGAATTGATTTATAAAAAAAAATCGAAATTTTGAAATATTTCTAGAAGACTTATTTGGAAAATTAATTTGTTTGAATCGGTTGGTTATCTTATTTTTTTTTTTTTTAAGCAAAAAAATGTCTTTCGAGTGGTTCGCACACGAACATACCTGCATACATATATATTTATCTACTTTTGAAATCGGACTACCTACAATTTTGTTTATTTTGTCTCTTTTCTAAATTTTTGTAATAGTTCAATAATTTCCTTTTGATAATTATATGTATTTTAAATAAATTTTGCGTTGTTAATATGTTTTTTTTTTTTTAATTTTTAATAGATGTGTGTTTCAATTAATCCGGGAGCTGTTACGAAAGCCGAGGCCACGAGCACCACTAGTGATACGGGAGGGAATACTTTATTACCTGGTAAAAAAAATGATTACTAGAAAAATGTGTTTGAGGTAGCAATAATTAATCTTTTTTTTTTTTATAATTTAGTATCTACAAGTAGAGCACACTCTGTGGCCGTTAGTTTACTGGCCACTCCCCCTTTGGGCCTACCTACCGTGTTTGGTACAGGTGAGTTTTGATAATTTTTGTTTGTTCTTTTGTTTATTTGTTTTTTTTTAAAATTTGTTAATTTATTTGGTTTTTATATAAATATTTCTTTTTTTTTTTTTTAAAAACAATATAGCTTCCGAAAGTTCTGATGATGAGCTGATTATGGGGCTCTATAGGCGGAAGGTGGTGTCAGCCACTGGAGAGGAGAGCTTCGTGTATTATTGGCTGGGGCGTGACAACTTGCCGACGGTTAGTTTGTTTTGCCTATTATTTGTTTTGTTTCAGTCCGATTGAGTTATATTATTTGTTTTTTTAATTTTCTCTTTGTTTTTCTTCTTTTTTAGGCTATTGACAACTGGCACCGTATTTCATAAATTTATGTTTATTGTACATTATTATTTTTGATATCTATTATAAGTTTTTTATATAATTGTTTAATAACTTTTGTTTTTATATGTAATAAATTTTTTTTTTAACTAGTCCTATTTTGATTTTTCAATTAGTAAGTTTAGATTTAGTAAAAATATGGCATTAATAAAATAAGTTAATTTTTAGATATTTTAAATAAAAAAATACTTTAAAAAAAATTTAATTACTTGTTTGATTTATAAAAGAAACAAAAAAAACGAAACTATATATAGTCAATTTTTTTTTTAAACGTTTTTTTTTTTTGTTTAATTTATTTATTTGGAAAGCGGAACAACGTTCACCTATGAAGAATTTTGTTTCGGTAAGTTTCTGTATGTATTTATATATAGATTTATATATATATATAAAAGTTTTTTTTTTTTTGGATTGATTATCTTCCTTTTTTCCTTTTTTTACTTATTATTATCAATATATTTCAGTTCGAAACTACCCAGAAGGAACGTTTTGGGAATTCTATTTGTTGGAGTTTGGACGTTTTCTCTCTTAAGGGGGATCTCTCAAGATAAATGAGGCTTATCTACTGTCCTTCAAGCCTTGCCTACTCTTTCGTCTTGCCTTTTGGTCGAAGGCCTGGAATTTGATTCTTGAGGATGGTTTGGATATCAAAAAAATAGGGGTTGCCGTACGGCCACCTCATCAACTGCAACGATGGTCGAACTGTTGACCTGGCTTGCTTTTTTTTTAATTTAAAAGGGGGGTTTTTTTTTTTTTTTGTTATTTGGCGCGTAGTTTTGTTTGTTTTTTTTAATTTTTTTTTTTTAATTTAGTTAATTTCTATACTGTTAGGTGGTATTTGTATGCAGTCTCGTTTTTTAGGTTTGGGTATTTGTTCTATCTGTACTGTTGTTTGGGGTAATTTTTCTTGTTGGGTTTCGTCTTTTTCTTTTCGGTCTTCGTTTTTTTTTTGTTTGTTTGGGATTGCGTATATTGTTGAATCATCATCCTTTCGAAATTGTAAAATACTAGGAGTTAATGAATTTTTTGAGTTTCTGTTTTTTATTGTGCATTGATATATTATATATCCTAAGGTTATCAATACTACTATACTAGTGGTTCCTAATACCGAATGTGTATAATAATTTTGTTTTCTTTGCCCTAGTTGATGCTCACTTTGCTGCTTTAATTCGTTTTCTAAATTTTCTAATTTAATGTCTCCCTCCATTCTTTTCCATGGTGGTCTAATTTTTTCCGGTTTTATCCATGTTTGTTCTCTTCTGTTTTCCTGTAGTATAGGTGCTAATTTTTCCAAACAAAGTTCTAATTTTGGTTCGTAAAGATATTCCTGTTTATTTTCTTTGATTTGTAACGCTGGCAATTCTATTGTATCTGTAGTTAGTTTACATCCCGATGCAATTTGTAATAGTCCTACCCCTGTTAATTTTAAAGGTTTAGTTGGTATGTTGTAGCAGGATAAATAAGCTGTTTCTTCGATTGTTAAAGAATATATCCAACTTCCTGTTGTGGTTATAGGGCTCCAATGTGGTTGTTGATTTTCTGTGATTCTAATATCACAGCTTTTTAATGTTTCATTGTTTGCTTCTCTTAACAATTCAGATTCGCAACTGGGCACTAAAACTGAATCGTATATCACTTGGTTAGGGTGACATATGTATTTATTTTCAATGTAATGACAGGTACTTAGGTCTTCTTTTTCTAAGTAAAAATATTTTCTAATGGCTGCGCTAGTAGCGATATATTTTGCATGGGGTGATATATATGCCCTATTTCCGTGGATTGTTGGTTTTTGTGATATTGGTACTTCATGCATTTTGTAGAGCAGAAATTTCTCCCTTTCTAACAATGGTATGTCTAGTGTCATTATTAATTTCTCATTATTCATCCGGGAATTAACAATTGATATTTTTCCTAGTGTTGCTACATTTACTTTGTTTAAATTTACTGGGAATACGAGTTCTCCTAGTTGTTCTTGGGCTTCTTTTGCTATTTTCAACAGTTGATTGTTTGTTAACATTCTTGGGTGTAATTTTCCTTCTTTAGCGCTATACATTACTTGAAGAGTTTGTTCTAAGGCATGTTCGTAAATGTCTAATTGTTCTTCCCAATTACGTATGGTAGCTTGTATCCAAACCGTGTAATTTATGTTGTCTAATTTGTCATCGAAGTTTTGAATGTGCGTTTGTAATTTATACAATTTTTCTTGCCAATTATTTGCTAATTTTTGTTGTTGTTCGGCTGTTTTATATAGATTATGTAATTCTGCTCTAACTAAATGTGTTTGTTCCCCTACTAGTTTGGAAATATTTCGTTGAGCTTCATCTAATTCTAGTAATGAATTTTCGTATTTTTCTCCATCTTCATACGTTAATACTCCTATTGCAGTGCCTGCTATTTTTCCTATTACTCCGAACCATGGTGTACTTCTTTTTTTTATCGATTTAGATAATGGCATTTGTATTAGATAATCATTTTGATTCCTTAATTCTTGCGTAGTTTCTTGTAATTGTTCCCATTGCATTTTTATGACCGATATTCTTCTATTTATTCCGTGAAAATTTAAAATTTCTTCGCAGTTGTTCGCCAATATTTTTCTACAAGGTATTTCTAAACTTTTAAATTTTTCTTCTAGTTCAGGTAGATGACTGTTGAAATTTTCCGTGTCTAAAATCACTACTGTTCGCCAAGTTCCTGTTATTCTTTGTATGTTGGGCATTAGTTCAAAAAATATACCAGTGCTTTTTTGAAAAGGTGTGATTCTTATATAAGGGCTGTCCTCTATTCCATTGATCGTTTTTAATAAGCATAATATTGTCAGGAAAAACTCCATGATTTTCATCTTCCTTCCTTTATTATCCTGTAACCCAAAATAGAAAAGGGATTTTTTTTACTTTTCTAAAATTCTATAGCTTGTTTAGCTAATTTATCGGCTTCTTCATTACCTATTATCCCACTATGACCTGGTTCAAAAAGTAATTCTACTTTTAAACCTAACGTTTTATTTTTTAACCTTTCAAAAATTTCCTTATTTACTACTAAACGTTTTCTATTGGTTTTCCAACCGTTCTTCTCCCATACTGGTAACCAATGATGATAACCATCTATCGTAAATCTAGAATCAGTGTGTATTCTGACTTTCTTATAACCTAATGATTTTATTATATCTAAAGTTTTTAATATAGCTTCTATTTCTGCCCCGTTATTAGTTTGCTTTAATTGAGCCCTTTCACTAACGTTTTTAGGATGGTTGAAATTGAACCATACTCCTATTCCTGCTTTGGCCTTGTCTTTTCCATTGGCCTTACATGCTCCATCAGTATAAACGTGTACATATCCTTCTTCGTCCTTCCTAAACCCTGCTTGATCTTCTAGTCATAAATAGGCTTTTTTGACTTGATCTTTGTGTTTTCTAAATCTTTTTCCTTCTGCATCACAGAGTACTAGATTATTGTTTTCCGTGATAGAAACTACTTCGTATGGCCCATGATAATAAGGTTCGAATTTTCCTGTTCTAACTTCTTCACGAACGTCCACTACATCACCTACATTTACATCTAGTGGTCTGGATTTATTATCGTATATTTCCTTAGAGGTTTCTTTTGCTTTGGTTAAATTTGTTGCTGCAATTCCTCTGATTTCTATTAACCGTGTTATTAATTCTTGTATGTATGATTCATACGTTTCTAGTTTTTCTTCGCTTGGAAAAGCTGTAGGAGTCCTGGCTAGTTTTCCGAAAACTAATTCATATGGTGTGAATTTGGTAGCCTCATGTACTGAGGTATTATACGCGAACATTGCATATGGGAGTAGTCTATCCCAGTCGTCGCTAGAGTGCGCATAATGCCGTATGAATTCCGTTAAAACAGCGTGACTTCTTTCAAGGGCTCCGTTTGTTTGTGGTCTATAGGCTGTAGTTGTTACTTGATTTACTTTGAATATTTTTGCTAATCTTCTAAATAGGTTACTAATAAACATTCTCCCTCTATCTGTTAACATTGTTTTTGGAGCTCCATAGACTGAGAATAGGTTGGTGGCTACTGCGTGAGCGATTGTAACTGCACTTATGTCAGGTACAGCTACAAATATACAATATTTACTCAGTTGATCTTGCATAGTTAGTATATGGCAATTACCGCTTGACGTTGTAGGTAGTTTTCCTACAGTATCTAGAGATACTTTGTCAAAGACATCTAAAGGTGTATCCGTTATTATCATTGATTCTCTATTTTTTGTTCTTACTATTTTGCGTTGGGCACAACTCCTACATTTTCTTATATGCTCAATTATATCATGTCGTAAACCGGGCCAAGTGTATTTTTCTCTAATTCTTCTATAGGTCTTGTTAACCCCTTTATGCCCCGCTATCAAACTGTCATGATATTCCTCAATTATTTTTGGTCTTCTGCTTTCCTCAGGAATTGATATTTTCCCAAAACACAACTTTATTCTTATGCCGGTTCCATAGAAAATTTTTACCAACTTTTCTACCCAAATATTACCCATGGATTCTGTTAAATCTCCATATTTAGATATTCGAAATTGTTTAACATTTTCCTTTATTAGAACTTCTCTAAGGTTGTAAAGAATTTCCTCAAATTCTTCTATATTTAGCTTATCATCGTATTTCCTCTTTAACACTACGGTATATACATTATTTTTACCTCTAGGCGTGATCAAAATTTTTCCTACACTAGGTTTCCTAATTTTTACCTCCATTAAATCTAAACCTCCTATAGCTACTATTAACTTGGTTATAGAACAACTAGGTTCTGCATCTTTTGATATAAAATGTACATAGTTGTCTCTGATACTAGTGATGGCTTCTCTGTCGTAGGTAAGCGTATCTATTCTTTTTAGAAACGGTTCTTGTTCTCTTTTAACAGCTTCAAATACAATTTCTTCGTCATCTATATGAGGCATGATTACGTCTATGCGTTGACTCGAATTTAAAATCGTGTTGTCCGGTTTCTTTGTGGTTTCATCTCTTTCAGATACTTTTGTTGTAATTTCCTTTCCTTTTACTAATTTTCTCGGAATTATTTTAATTTTCTTTTGTTGCTCTTCTAGTTCTGACTCTGTGTTTTCTAGTACTGCAGTG